TTTATTACGTCATTTATCTAAAATCATACGTTTTAAAAATCCTAAATTCTAATTTTACGTATGTTTCTATTTCACATATTAAATGAAAAGACTTTTGATTTACGTAGGGGGTTGGTGCGCGTAGCGCGCAGGGGTATAGAGCAGTGTTTCTAACAACCAAGCGTTCTCGCGCATGCGCACAACGGTTTTACTCTCTCTCCGACCAAGCTAGCAGTGGAGAGAGAGCTCCCCCTACCTTTACCTTTAACCCAAGCTCCCCTCACTCTAACACCTTAAATATAATCTTATATCTTGGATGGGTATACTCGTCGTTGGTCGAGTGGGCTACGTCTTTTGCCCGCGTATAGAATCTGACCAATATGCCATCGATTCTTCATCAATGCATTTTTTTTTTTTTTTTTTATTTTTTATTCTTTGTAAGGGAAACACCTTGACTACGTGTATCTCAGGTATACGTGCACACTCGAGAATGCTGGCGCGCTCCGATAAACCCCATCCCGAGTGCTGCTATGATTCGGAAGTGTGTTGCATGGCACATAATATTGTCAGCGGGGGTTTCCCATTTTCTCGGGCTTTGAACGAGTTATCATGTATCTGTGTGGAAAACCATCGATATAGACTTGTGTTCGATTGTACTTTTAAAAGGCTACAAACATGCTGGGAATTTATAACAGTGATGTTGTGTAAGAAAATACGTTTGTTTTATCATTTGCAGCTTAGTAGTACGTTGTCTATAGATATTTTGTACATCCGCAAAGTCCATGTTATCCGTCAAGTCTGATAATTTGGATGCAGTAACAAGATCGTTTCTACCTCATCATAAGGAGCATCATCTGTACCTGAGGTGATTCATCTCACGGGCTATAATCACTAATGTTAAGAATCGTCTTTTTTTTCCAAAACTTGTAACGCATCATGAGAGTGATATTCAATTGATTTTAATTTTGGTGCTCTCTAGAAAAATTTCATTCAGACGTTCATTGCGAACTTTATTGGGATTTCTATTCAAATTTTTCAATTTTTCATTGGCTCGTACTTTTAAGATTATTGTCAAAAGCATCCAAACATCGAAGGACGCGTATAAATGTATACTTCAAACGGCAAAGAAAAAGTATACGAGATGATGAATTACAGCGGAAGAGCAAACAACAAATGTAACAAAAAAAAAAAAAAAAAAAAAAAAAAAAAAAAAAAAAAAAAAAAAAAAAAAAAAAAAAAAAAACAAAAAAAAAAAAAAAAAAAAAAAAAAAAAAAAAAAAAAAAAAAAANNNNAAAAAAAAAAAAAAAAAAAAAAAAAAAAAAAAAAAAAAAAAAAAAAAAAATGCATTGATGAAGAATCGATGGCATATTGGTCAGATTCTATACGTGGGCAAAAGACGTAGCCCGCTCGACCAACGACGAGTATACCCATCCAAGATATAAGATTATATTTAAGGTGTTAGAGTGAGGGGAGCTTGGGTTAAAGGTAAAGGTGGGGGGAGCTCTCTCTCCACTGCTAGCTTGGTCAGAGAGAGAGAGAGAGTAAAACCGTTGTGTGCATGCGCGAGAACGATTGGTTGTTAGAATTATTAACACTGGTATAGAGACCTAATTTTATATATATATATATATATATATATAACTACATACAATACTAAGTGCTGAAATAAATAATATTAAATGATGATCTTTCCCAAAAATATATTCACATTTTATAGCAATATTCGTTACTGCGGAAAAAAAAGAACGCATTAAACTCTGTCACTTAGTGCATTTTTATTTATTTTTTTAACTCCTTGTTTTAAATTATGACCGAGTTATAAAACAGTATTTTACCCGGATACGTGTACGCTAGCGCTAGACTACACCCCACTATCTTCAAGTGCGTGTCATTGGTGAAGCTTTATAGGTCCCAACTTAAAAATTTGCATGTCTGTAGTGAAAGAGTTAATTTTTTGACTAATGCAAGTTTAAAAAAAAAAAAAATATGTAATTTAAGAGAAAACAGCCTAAACTTGAAAATCGATTGAAGTAAGAAAAAAAATTTTTTTACGTTAAAACTGACTGTACTATCTAAAAGAGCCGGTCAAAATCTATCGATTCATGTTTTCACCTTTTTTTAGTAACTATTTCTCATCTGTTGTAAAGGAGTTGAAAAGAACACTTCTGATGCAAAAAAGGCGCTACGCATGCCGCGTTTTCTGCTTGGCTCGGACGTGCCCCCTATATAGGTTAATCCAAATGACGAAAGTAATTGCCAGCGTTGCTGCATATTCAGACTTCTCTCATCTCTCTAAAAATCTTATGGACCTGGCTAACTTTAATGCACGTCATTAAGTAAAAAATGTTACGTTAATCCCGAATAAAGATTGTGAGAGTTGAACGGAATAAAAATCAAATAATGTATTAATAGAACATTGTATTAATAAACTACTAATAGAATATAAAAAATTATTAACTGCTCGAAAATTTTTTGAAAATTATTAAAAACAATTAAATATTTGTGTAAACAATTATTCACAAAATAAGAGATAAGTTACCAACCAAACTTAAAGAAGGAAAAAGAGGTTAATCTATAATCAGGATCACTTGTAGCAGAGAGCATAGGGTACTCGGGTAGTATGCAAAAGATCGCTGGTTTGATGCTTTAGAAAATTGTTTCTTTTTTTTTTTTTTTCGTTTCTAGTTTTTTTTTAAAGAGTTGCGTGTAGAATGAAAAATCAAAATTTTATAATGTTCTTTCTTCGCGTATGCGCTTTAGTAGTGTGATGTATCGTGGTCGGTTCAGCGAAGTAAAATAAAAAAGGCACTTCTGTAACACATTTGCTTAAGATCACCAATCTGAAATTGTCGGTTTAAAAAATCTAAAATTACAATTTTAAATATGTTTATATTATATTATCTTGAAATACTCTTTTCTTAAGTAAGAGTAATGGAAGGTTGGTGTGCAGAGCGCGCAGGAGGGTTAAGCCCTACTAGGATGTGTGTGTGTGTGTATTCTCGTTTTCCATTTCCCTGAAATAATAATAATTCCTAAATTTTATGAACAGTTGTATAGAAGTTACATTAAATCTATATAGTATTGCAGGTCACGTAGTTTCTTTTATAGCCATGACTATCGAATCGATGAACGATTTGTTAGTATATTACTTATGAACCTTAAGAATTTTTATTGATCAAAAGTTGTATTAAATTCTTTTTAAAATAACGCTTAAATTAGGCTACGACTTTTCTGATGATTAGATAAAAGGGGAAGGTTGTGTCTGATTTCCGGTCTGCTTGAGCTGGCTCTGGTGGATACACATCTGGACAGAAAGTGAACAACTAAGTTCTAAAATAACATGCATCCTTGAAATATAAGATAGTTGTTTTACATTGGTTTTAAATATCTGTATAATTATACTTGCTGAGAATCCTGATGACTATAGTTCGAAACCTGTAATTATTTGGTAGTAATAAGGATATAAAGTTTGTGTAATGATTGTATTAATGCAAGGTTTCCTTCAATTAAAAGAAGAATACTTATTGTAAGGTTTGTATTTTAATCAGCAAGGTAAAAGTGCCAACATAAATTATTAAACTCTTTTAGTAGTCTTGTTTATTATCGTTAAGAACTAACTTTTCCCTAAAAAATCTACAATTCAATACTTTTTGATTTTCACAGTTTTTGTCTAATGCATAAGGTAAAATAGCACTTGTTGATATCATGTGCCTCATAAGTATATCAAACCCAAAAATAGTACATAGGTCTTTTGATTCTATTCTTTTAATTTGATAGTCGCAAAATATATCAGCATGTTTGTGGAAAATTTTCATTGAATTAGCTGATACAAAATTATTCAGACTAGTCTCTGATTTGCAATCAGCAATCTAAAAGACTTAAAAGGAAAATAAGAAAATTTTTGTCTACCATATTTCATCAGCCATTTTAAATTTGTTTTAACTCATTTTTTATCTAAAATCAGTGACCCAAAGAACCATGCAATGCAATTTTCTTCAAATTTTGAATATTAGAAAATCTTTTACCGTCATCTTGGGTCGGCCATTTTGAGTTTTTTGTAAAATATTTTTATTCATAAATAGCGACTTAACAAGACTCTTATTGTGAAGTTTTAATTAGGTTTAAAAAAAATTAAGTCCTGCATATTAGATTGGCCATGTTGGATTTTTTTTAAATAATTTTTTTATTGTGATCCATGATCAAAAAACCTTATATTTTGCTGTTCTTCTCAAATTTTACATAAAAAATTTTTCAGTCTGCCATTTTCATTTAGCTGTATTGAATTTCTTGAAAACAACGTTTTTTATTGTTATTAGTGATGAAAAACATATTGCAGTCATTATAAAATTTAAAAAAAAGAAAATTATTTTGCTATCTTGGATCGGCCGTATTGTTATTGTGAAAAAATCTTTTACTTTGTAATAAATGACACAAAGAACTAAAGTATTCATAATTTTAAGAAAATCGTGCGTGTACTTTATTTTTTTAAACTATTTTTGTTTTTTTAATGAAATCACTTTTCATGGTTATGCAAAAACTATAATTGTTAACAACAACAAACTGTTCTTAGATTTATTTTTTCTCTGTGCACAATCATAGTATCAAAGTATCAATGAAACAAAAACAAAAAATTAAATTAAAATCTGTTTTTTACTGCAAGATTCATGATAATTAAAGAAAAAATGATTTTATCTTAATCGCAGTATGTGAATAAAAGTCTGATATTGTTATGTGTAAATTACGCATTATTTTATACTTAGAAATAATCCGTTGTCGAATGTCCAACATGTTACGATAAATCCTTTGATATCAGCAAAAAGTCAGGTTCTGAGGCATATATGTATACGTACATGAAATATAGCATAATATTTATTATACAACAATAACATAAGTCTGTGTTTATGTTTGTACTAAAAAATTTGAATGTTTTATTTTTCCTACTAGATTTTCTTACAGTTTGTTAGTTTTAAGTTCTGTGATCCTGTTTATATTATATTATGGATGTTTTCATTGTGTTTAGTATGAAGGTCACTGTAACAACACTAAACGATGAAATATTTATTCTTGATATCAATGAAGATTTAGAATTGGAAAATTTCAAAGCTCTTTGTGAAAGTGAGAGTGGTATTCCTGCTCATGAAATTTTGATTCTTTTTAATGGACAACCTTTATTGGATCTTGATGTGACGATTGGTCAGTATAAAATTTGTGATGGAGATGCAGTTATTTTACAGCGTATTCATCTTAATGCAAAGGAAGAGACTAGTTCTTCTAAAAATGGTAAGTTGTTGAAACATTTATGTATCATAGATTATTTAAAATATAAAAATTGTTAAAGCTTGTAACGTTGTACCCGGTCAGCTTGGCACACGCACACAACTACCCCAAGTACAACACTACGAATACAGCTGTGCAGTTCCGGCTTCTCTGGTACGACCGCCCGCCGTACCCCAGAGCCGTAGCTTCAAGTGCCCCTCATAGCTGTGGATTTTTCATATTAATAAACAATGCTACTAGCTCATCCTCGACAAGCCACTAAAATTTTCCCAAGGAGCTACTACAATGCTCCTGAAAAGCCACTTCTCACAAACCCTGGAGCCACCAACCACGAATCCGCAGCCACTACCCGCTTTGTTCAAACAGGGCACGAAGAGTGCCTTGCGATCCGAGTCTCTGCTAGCCACGTGTCTCATAGCCACTAACTCCCTGCCCCAGGAAATTACTAGCTTGGAGCCGTAAACGCGTCTCCCTGACTGTCTCACGTACCACCTTGTGCATACTATAACCACTGCCTATACGGAAAAACTGTTCTCACTCCCTTGCTCACAATTTTTCGATTCCTTAGGGCTTTTAGTGCTCGATATTGGCTCCGGCTCAGTCTCCTTGTAACCCTTGCAGCCACCGATCACATGTAGCCAGCCAAGACCCAATAACCCGTTTCCCTCTTTCGATCGCGTTCGCCAAGTAGAAGATCCAAAACTGTGCAACAAATTCGAGCCTATTACTGACTAGCCCAGCTACTTCTCTCTGCTCGATACCTTGGGAAGTCCCTACCGAAAACCCTTGACCGATCGCCTACGCTCAATAAACGATTGTTGATTGGTTAATTACGTACCAGTGCCCTCTTTTATTTATTTAATCATCTCTTAACTCTTATTAGTATAATGATTTGACCAGCAGATCGTACCGGCGCTTCCACCAGCCTAGTCCTCATGTTTTAGACCGTTCCACTCCCTCAAGGGTGAAGGTGCTGTCACGTGAAATCTACCCGCCAGCAACCAATAAGCTACACGTTTCGATGCGTGTGCTTGGTGCTGTGACTCCGTCATAAGTTTGTCTCAAAGCGCAAAAAACTATATACACATAAGTAATCCAAACAAAATATCTTTATTTGAACTAGTGCATCAAAATCATAGTTGCAGAATCAAGATAATGGATCTTTTATAAATGAAAAAATGTAAAAAAAAAAAACTTTTTTCTGCCTGCGATCTAACTTTTGTATCTAAAAAGTAATTAATAACATTCTTAGGTATCTGGAAAGCTTATAAAATATCCGAAAATCATTAAAAACTTACTTGTCACATTTATTTGAAACAATAGAAAACTATAAAAATATGAGACTTTATTTTTGCAATAACTTTTACTATATGGTATTTTTGGTTTATTATATAGTATTTACTATATGGTAGATCAATTTCAGAAAGTATGTTTTAAAAATTACACCTCAAAGAATAATTTTAGTCAACGATAAATAACTCCAAACCTACTGTATAAAATTTTACGAATATGTTTTTTCTTTTAAAAAAGTATACATCTATAATGTAAAATTTACAACCTCTGGATATAGGGCGTCCCGAAGTTCTTGCACAAAAATAAAATCTGAAATCTCTCTACTGGCCGTCATCTCTGCTATCTGGACTCTACTGTAAGAAGTCCCACTGGCAGCCCTCTCGGGTGAATGAGTTTGTTACTCAAGTTGCTGAACTCGATATAGGATTCGATATAGGATATTTATATTATTAAAATGCATTTAATATCGCTGTTCCGCGAGTTTGAAATAAACTACCTTAGGATTTCCACGTTTTTTTACAATCAGTTCAGTTTTGCTAATCGTTTATATAGTTATCTCTGAAACTTAACTTTCCATAACTTAATATCCGTCTTATTCTCAAACTGTCATATATTACGAGCTTATTATTATTTTTTTTTTTTATGTTATTTATAAAAAAAATTAGGACCCTGAGTCTACTTTCTTAAATAAAAATTTATTCTACTTTACTCTGCTACTGTTCGCAGTGCGTTCGACGTCGTCTCATAAGTGACATATTCCTGAAATCTCATGTTTCCCGATAACCCAACCCTAACTTACTATCTACCTAATTACTTCAAATTCTTACTCCTGACTTATGTCTTCTCTCCTCCTCGCATTTCTTTCGGCTTTTTTCAGTGTCCTGGCTGATCTTGCGCCAAGTTATGATCATTTAATAATAACAGGAGACTTTAACATTAACTTGGACTAAAACGATAATGCAACAAAATTTTTTCCTGATAACCTAGCTGAATTTTCATATTATCTTGTACTTTCTTTACTGACTCATCATGTTTTTTGGCATGATCCACATTCGCACATTGGGATCGATGTATTTCTTGTCAGCGACCAGTATCGAATGATGGATTAAGAGAATACGCAATTTGAAGTCCATTAATAAAAATGAGCTTAATCAGAAACTTCGTGATCGCCTTAATCAGCTCGAAGATAGATTGCTGACTGTCACTTGCACTCAAAATATAGATAACTTGGTATCTTTGATCACCTGCTGTATCCATGTAATTTTCAATAAACTTGCACCTGTTCGTAAAATTAAGCTGACAACGAGGCATAAGCTACGGATCACTGCGGAAATTAGAATGCAAATGTGGGAAAGGGGCAGGGCTTACAAGAACAAGAAAACCGGGAGGATGGATTGCGTGGAGGACTTTAAAAGGTTGAGGAGGTTAAGGGCTGCGGTGTCAAATGCAATAAGTATGGTCAAGAAACCTTTTGTCTCTGATGCCATTAGAAATGTATCTGACTCTAAATCTAAGAGGGCGGCTTTCCAAAAACGGGACCTATCGTCGTCAACTATGCCCTCTCTACTAGAGATTTTTCAGCCCCGAGATCTGATCAGGGTTTACAATTGTAGTGCTCCTATTTAGTCAGTGAAGTCGTTGATCAATAATACTGCCTCAGTTAATCCAATGAAACTGGTAATTAATTTTTAGCATGCAAAAAAAGGGTTATTGGTTATTGGCTATTCCGCACTGATACGCTCTAGCTAGGTCTCCTTAGACATATACGGTACTTTCCTGATGACGATAAGTGTGGCTGCACAAGCACTTACACCTATCCTGGTACGTTTTTTTAATGTATGTATTGATTAGGACTATTTTTCTGGCTCATGTAGAACTGCATTGTTGATGCCAATGGCGAAGAGCAAAAAAATAGTAACACCTAGTGATACGCGACAGACAGCACTGCCTCCATCATTGATAAAGCCGTTCAACAGAATCCTTCACCAGAAGATGGTATTGAGAATCATAAATTACTTGATCCATTCCAGACGAGATGTTGATGTGGGCAAAGTACCCAAACTGCACTCCTTAAAGTCTTGAGCGATGCTCGACTGGCCATAGATAAAAGAATGATTACCATTCTCAAGCTCTTCGGTTTTTCCGAGGCTTTGACTTGGTGCCACATATCAAACTATTGAAGAAACTACTTACTTTTGGGATCGGTCAGAGCGCAGTCCAGCTGCTGGTGTCCTACCTTGAGGAAAGAAAACAAGCAGTTGGAAGGAATGTATGTGTGCTCTCTGAGTTCATGACCATCACTAAGGGGGTGCTACAAGGGAGTGTACTTGGCTCAGTGTTATTTTCTTTATACATAAACGATCCCTACCTCTCACTACGATATAGTAAACATGTGAATTATGCCGATGATGTCCAGATCTATCGGCATTGCTTTCTAAAGGACTTGAACTTGAGCATTTGGAAAGACACGCAGGACGCTACAGCAGTGTCCACATTGGCCGTCAACAATGGACTCATACTTACTGTGCCAACGGCAAAAGCCATCATAATTAGCAGCTAGCAGTATGTCACTAGAATTAATTATATAACAGCATAATGCCTATCAAAGTCCAAAATAAACCGATATCGTGTGTAAGTGAAGTTAAGAATCTGAGTCGTCATAAATTCGGTTTTAGACTAGACTAGACAGTTGAATGGGGTGTTACAGTGGGTGCAGTATGTCCTCTTCTCCCTTCGATTTTACAGGCGTCCATTGTCCTCTCTCTCTCTCTCTCTCTCTCTCTCTCTGCGCAAAAGTCTAATTTCCCCGCATTTTGACTAAGTTTGTGTAGTGTATCAGACTCTAGATAATACAAAGAATCTTAAACTCTAAAGGGCATTGAACGCTTGTGTTTACTTAGTAGTTGGTAACATCCCGCAAATGGGGCGTGCCACGCCTCATAGATTACAACTGGGATGACTGTCTGTTCAAAGGTACGGTCTGTTGCTTATCGAGATACAAGCATTTAGTGCTATAAAATTTTCCAACCCGGAATACTTGGTGAGAACCCTTAGTCTGAATATGCATATCATGGGTGAGTGAAGACTTCTTAGAGGAGAAGTCCGTCTTATATTCATATCAACCCATAGAACACAGACTTATAAAGAACCCTTTCAAATACAAGCTGCATATCTTCTTAACACACTGGAGTTTATAGAATTTGAGGACCATGTATAAACATTTAAGTGCAAATTATATGACAAGCTTTTACGATTGGAACAAGAGGAATGAAAAAGGAAGGGATTTAAGAATGGATTAATGTCAATTGATTTTCCTAAGGTCATAGTAATATTTCTTAGTACTGGACTATTATTGTATGTTCCCTTTCACCTGACTGAAATTTATGTGCATAGCACATTACGATATGGAATCTCTGCCTTTACTGGGGCACTTGCTGAGTCTTAGTCGTTTGCATTTGGCTTTAAGTATTATCTTTTCATGTTATTCTGCTCCATGCTGTGTCTTAAAACTTAATAAATCTAAAATCTAAGTACTACACACTCAGTCTTAGTCGATTCGGGCAATAATGCTGTGATTTACTTGTAGCATGTTAAAGTAAGATTTTATCCAATTTATATACCCTATCAAGCTAGTCAAATAGTTCTACGAAATTCATATCGTGTGACCTAACATATAATGTCTCAGATTCCAAAACACTCATACAACTTGT